TAAAATACATTCGGACACCATCACAAACTGACTTAAAGATAAAACTGAAGTCGAGTGCCCCCCCCTTCTCCCTGCATTAGGTGTTAGGTTCAGGTATCACTTCTCCTAAAGAATAACAATTGCCTGGCTTTACATCAACTGTCAGTGCTGTATATTTGTATATTGTCATTATCATTCATTTCGCCCACTACATAAGTGACAAGCTGAAATTGAACTGTTTGACAGATTCAAATAAAAGCTTTTTGCTTTGTTGACATATTGATGTTATCTACTAGCTAGCTCCCTGACTGTACACATACATTTTGAATGTAGTGTAAGACACAAGTTCATTTGTTTAAATCAAACTGGATGTTCAGTGTGAGTTAGGTTAAAACTTCTCATCCACTGGAGAAGATGCACAACATGTCTCCTTGCAGGAGCAATAGTGTTAAATTCGCCACATATTGAATTGTTATGTGGGGACTGCTAAGGATCCATCAGAACTGAACCTTACTCCACAAGAAACCCATCAGTTTGTCATCTGAGCCTCTGTAGACACACATAGAAAAGCTCCAAATACCTTTTAGAAAGTAAGTGAGCAGTAAGAGAGGATACAATCAGAGAGTGGAAAGTGTCAATTAACTTTTATTTGAAATATAATTTTGCATGTTTTTTTTAAAATAATGAAATATTGAGCAAAGCTGAGACAAAAGACAACAAGAAGGAGAGTGCCTCCATCTTACATTACATTACCTCCCCTGTCCCCTCTCTCTCTCTCTCTCTGATTGTGTCACATTTGACACTCTCTCTCTCTCTCTCTCTCTTTTCGCGTACCCCTCAGTTCACTCATCTGTAACCATTCTCACTCGGTTTCACACCGCTCTGTCTCCAATTTCAATCTCACAACACTGTCCTCAGTCTCAGTTGTCAAGGTAAAAACCCACACAACATGATTGGATTTTCATGCATGCGTACTATCTTTGTGTGTGCATTTTTGATGTCTGTTTAGCAATGAAAATACCACTGTTTAAGAAAAAAAAATTTTTTTTACTTCTTATAGCCTGAAGTCCTATCTTTGAATAGGTTTGAGATAATAATTGATTTCTTTCATCTAGCAGCCTGAAAGAGGAAAAAAATGCTTTTATTGCTTGTTGCCAAAGGGTTGGCTTCTTTTATTTTTTTAAATAATAAATGTAAGCAACATGGACCAAATTTGAAAATGTATTGATATTTTGTAGCTGAATGGGGTTTAAGAATGTGAACACACAGATTCTACGGAAGGAAGGTCACAGTTTTGTATTCAAGACTGACACTGTCCAGGTTGTGCTAAAAAGACCAAACTGTGGAGGAATATAAATGATGTTCTTGATAAGTATGTATATTAATATAAGGCACAGACATGCACATAAGTACT